TTTTTAATGCTGATAAGCATTTCCTATCAACAATTATAATTCGCGATACTGAAAACGTGTTGGTTTGTTAAGATATTTATTATTTTTCTTCAGATGAAAGTGTCAATCGCCGTTATCCTATTGGCTGCCTTTATAGTGGTGACGTCACTGGAGCCCGCATATTCAGATCCAGCGGTTCAACGCAGAAGCTACTGCCAAGGATGCTATGACTATTATGATCGCTGTATGGGTGAATGCAGTGGAATGGGATGTATGCGCTGTCAACGAGTCAAAAAATCTTGTGATTATCATTGCTCAGGATAAACCTCCGGGATAAACGAAAATTGTATCATAATTTGATGAATAAACGCCTTCTTTAATCGCGTGAAATGTCGGGCTCCCTGTGTTGTGTAACAGATTGCTCTTAAATATCTTAAATATATTATATATTGATTGTTCAGCACATTACAATGAAAAACCTAAATAATACGTTTATATTCATTGTATAGCTCTTATAAGATGAAGAATAGCTCTGATTGGCACGTTGTCTTACAGTTTGGGTTTCCTGTGTTCTGCAACCTCTTACCCAGGACTTTCTCTTCCTCGCTACCGGGAGGGTCTGGGTGCGAGACCGGACAAAAATTCAAGATGGCGTCCAAGGAGGTGTCAACACACTGGCACTGGAATTGTGCAAGTTCTCTTTGTACCAATAGCTGGCGTTCAAAAATTCCAGGTCTGAAATTTTACTATCTTGAAGAGTTAAAGAATAGAGAAGACTTGAGATCTTCGTATTTGAAAATACTGAAAAATGCTAACATCAACTGGAAAAAAGCTGTGATCTGCTCAGAGCATTGGTCGAATGGTGAACGAGGAAGTGTCGATGATCTTCCCGATGTCATATGCACTCCTGCGTACCTAAGTAAGCTCAAGAAATCAAAGAAGAAAACGAAACAAAGGAAAAGACGTCTAAAAGCTGCAGAGAATTTCCTTGAGCAAAAAAAGGACGATTTTTGTGCAACTAAAAAACCCGAAAGGAGTGCTTGGAAAGCACGCGTCCAAGCACGCGAACGCCAGGAGGGGGAATCAACTTTAAAGGCAAATGACTCAACAATTGAGAACGCTCTCAAAGAACAACTTAAAAACAAAGAACAAGAGATTGAAAAGTTAYGTAGTCAACTAGAAGCTCATTTAGAGCAACAAAAGCGAGCCAACGCAAAGATTGATTATCTTCTTGCAGAGTTGCAAAAAACCCAGTTTACTTATGATAACTTACACAAASAACCTAATAAACTTTTTGAATTAACTGGCCTTACAACCGTCGAATTCGACTGTTTGTTTGAATGTATAGAGCCATTTGTTTATCTAGTACAGTATCCAGATTGTAAGAATCAAGGCCTACGAAGACTGGATATGAAGACTGAGCTCATGGTATTTTTCACCATATGTAGGCATGCTTTGCATCTCAGCATTGCAGCGTGGATGACACAGGTAAACTATTTATTCACAGACATATTTTTTCTTCTAGAATWTATTTTGTTTTAGTCTTTATTCTATTTCAGTGATAAGAAATTATAGGTAAATTTTTAGATGAGGATATTATATACACATCTTTTTTTTAATTTTAGACTAGTGATGGCACAATATCAAGAATATTTACTGCTTGGGCTGTGTTCCTGTCAACTATCTTTGAATGTCTGGACCTTAGCCCTTTGCCTGGATTCATAGAGAAATTTTTGCCTAATGTATTTAAAAGCACAGGTTTTGTTGATACAGGGCTACTGGGGGATGCTACTGAGACATGGATAGGACAGTCAGAGAATTTTGAAGTCAACAATATCACATTCAGTAACTACAAAAACCACACCACTGGTAAAATTTMAAATCAAGTTTGCTCTACAGTGTAGATAGGTTAGTTGGATAGATTTGTTTATTTTTACAATATATTTTATAATCAAAAATGCTGACAGCAAATTATAATCATATATTTTTAAAGGTAAAACTTCAGTCTGGATCTTCCCTCATGGTGGTTTGTTGTGCTGCACCGATACATATCCAGGAAGTATATCAGACCATGATATCACTCAACAAAGTGGAGTCCTGGACACACTTAATAAAGGAAAAGTAGTATTAACAGACAAGGGTTTCGACATAGCAGAATTATGCCATTCTAAAGGACTATTACATAACAGACCACCAACGAAGTTTGATGCTCAATATGAACAGGCAGATGTAAGTGCAAACTTTGACATTGCTACATTAAGAATCTACAATGAGAACTATATTGGAAGAATAAGAGACTGGTCCATTCTGAATAGCTGTTGGCCAATGACCAGAATTGACCTTCTTGGACTTTGTTTTAAAATCTTTGCTCATATTGTAAATATGCTCAAGACTCCAGTTGGACCACATTAACAAGTACAACTAAGTATCTAGCTGTAACATTTTTGTTACATATTTCAAATTATATGAAAACATTATTCCGTCATACAGCAGATTCGGGTTGGGTGTTTAATGGGCACCTGACATGTTTGTTATGACAGTTGATCAAGATCAATCCCATTTTTCATGACAGACACTAATTTCTCCCAATAATGCTGTCTACTGAGTATAGCATCATCACAAACTTGCTTAGAAATTTTGTCTGGTGCCTATTAACTACTGTAGACCACNTTGTTTTGACCTCCACCAAAAATGTTTGTGCCAGGCCATCTGGACTGGCACCATACCTTCTATCAAAGGGATGATGAAAGTATCCAGATTTTGAAACAGGCACACCTATAAAATAAAAAAATAAATTTATGAAAAATAGCCAAATGATATTTCTTGATGTCTACATGTTGAAGCATCAAAGAACTTTGAAAATTGAAATAGTGATAATGCATTTTTTTTTCTTTTATCGTTTACACAGTATTTGTTATGAAGGCTCTGAAAAACAAGTTTCATTGTAAAACCTCTTCACTTTAGCTAAAAGACAAAAGAAAAAGAATTAAGTGCATTATCACTATTTCAATATGAAGTACAGCTAAATGATTAATACTGTTTAATCATCAATCTATAATATTATAACTTCAAACCATACCTGTCATTTCCTCAAAGTGTTCAATTGCCTTTGGTTCAAACTCTACACCTCTTTCGAAGTTCTTGAATCTTTTTGGGGTCAGGGTGCTCTCGTCAACTTTATTGTGAATGCAAAACCATGCTTCATTGAATTGCTTATGTCCACAAAATCCCAATAAACTTGGTAGTTTACTAGCCGTAATAACACCAATTCTTAAAGAATGCCATTCATTTGTTCCCTGTGTAACAGCTATGTAATTGAAGCCACAAGGCTGCACACGCTTGTATGATGGAAGTCTAATTTCATAGGTCCCTGTTTTTGTTTCTGCTGCATTGAAAGATTTTTGGAGATCCAACATCTCACGTTTATTTTCATACATCATTTTTTGGTCTTGCACTATTGGCACTTCTTTGTCAGCATTTAGATCACTTATTAGCTCTTCCTCATTTTCATTAGAAGGTAAGCTGCTTTCAGGCCTGACCTGACTGTGTACATTGCCTTGAGTTATTAGGATGCTGTTATCAAACAAGTTATTCACATTTTGGCAGTAATCATGATCCATAAATACAACCCTTGCTCTCCATGAGTTTCTGTAATGAAGCTCCATAGAAAGCCCAGTTGACATCATTTTATGTTTCATAAGTGTTTTGTAAAAATGTGAGTGTAGCTTTTCTTTGTCTAATCCTACTTTTACTTTTTGGGACATCATTTCAATATCTCGTTTAAAAAAATCATTTGTATCAATATTCTCAGTATCAATCTTTCGTTCCTTTCTTGCATTCCTTTTTCTTCCTCTATTGCATTTTCTTCGTTCTCTTCGGATCTCAAGGAAATGTGTGATGCCTTAGTTGCTATTCCTGCTCTTAGTCCTTTTCTATGCCATTTTTGGAGCTTTTCGGTGCATGATAAAGCAAAGATAGTCGTTTTTGTCTTACTGTAATGTTCTAAAAACATCAATAAAGCTATGATATGACAACACACACCACATTTTCCAATTGGACATGTACAGTGTCCTTTTATCGGAATATTCTTCTCAAACAAAATCACTGCTTGGCGTGTTATTTCATGACCAAAACTTTTGATATTGAATGCTTTTACAAATGTTTTGTTCCCCTCTCGAAAAGATTTCACAGATTTAATCTTTCTTGATAAAAGCATTCTTCGTCCTTTTCTTGATTGTCCTTTGTGTCCCTCTTTTTTAACGCTTGTATACTTAGAAATTGTTTTAGAATCAACTTTGGGATAAAGCGCGGGATCTGCTTTCCAAGCACTAGTGCTTGGTGGAATATCTGTGAGTTCCATGCTTGTACGAAAAACATATGAAGTCTTCAMCTGTTTTAAACGCTTTGTTAATAGAACTTTGCTCTCATTTAGAGGCTGCAATCTCTCTATAAGCTCCTGTTTAGTTCCAGATGCTTTAAGTTTTAGCTCAAGTGCAGCACCTTTCAGATCGGGAAGCGTCCATGTTTTCAAGTCTGCCTTGTCTAAATCCTTTGCTTGTTTTTTTAGATCTTTGTTCAAGAGATGTTTTTCAGTAGTTTTAAAAGATTTTGGAAYTTTTGACTGCCCGCTATTGGTACAAATAGAGTTTGCACAGTGTGTGGGCGCGACCTTCTTGACCTTCTTGGACGCCATCCATTTGAAAGTCGGCAATGATGAGTATGAACGATTAAGAAAAGACTTCACAAAACTCAACATAAGTGATTCTACTCAACAGAATATAAGTGACCCAGCAAACACATTGACAATTACTCTACTTAACATCAGGTCTCTTAACAAACATAGTATTGACGTAAAATATGATTCTGCTGTATTCAATAGTTATGTTTTAGCTTTTACAGAGACACAACTTTTTCCTAATACCAATGGTAATGAAATAATCGAAAATTTACAACCGTTTGCACTTTTAAGGCAAGATCATTCTTCTGATAGGTTCTCTAGTTTAGCAATATGTACTAAAGACGTCCAAATACAGGAATACGAATATTTCAGAGCTATAAATGCAATTAAATGTGTGCTCAATGACCATATCAATAAAATAAAACAATCTATTATATTAAAGATATGAATATGAAGACCGCATGGCACTATGATAAACATGATATAGAAATGAAAGAAAGTTATAGTGCTTAGAAGGAGGCAATTCCGGGAGAAGTCCCTTAGGAATAAATTCGGAAAAATTAATTTCCGACCTCGCTGGGATTCGAACCCACGACCTTCGGATTGTACACCGATGCTCTACCAGCTGAGCTACAAGGCCAGACTGGGAGCAGGTCGGGGTGAAATAGATGTTAAGGTTGCGGTAATAGAATAATGTAAAGATATGAATATGAAGACCGCATGGCACTATGATAAACACGATATAGAAATGAAAGAAAGTTATAGTGCTTAGAAGGAGGCAATTCCGGGAGAAGTCCCTTAGGAATAAATTCGGAAAAATTAATTTCCGACCTCGCTGGGATTCGAACCCACGACCTTCGGATTTGTACACCGATGCTCTACCAGCTGAGCTACAAGGCCAGACTGGGAGCAGGTCGGGGTGAAATAGATGTTAAGGTTGCGGTAATAGAATAATGTAAAGATATGAATATGAAGACCGCATGGCACTATGATAAACACGATATAGAAATGAAAGAAAGTTATAGTGCTTAGAAGGAGGCAATTCCGGGAGAAGTCCCTTAGGAATAAATTCGGAAAAATTAATTTCCGACCTCGCTGGGATTCGAACCCACGACCTTCGGATTGTACACCGATGCTCTACCAGCTGAGCTACAAGGCCAGACTGGGAGCAGGTCGGGGTGAAATAGATGTTAAGGTTGCGGTAATAGAATAATGTAAAGATATGAATATGAAGACCGCATGGCACTATGATAAACACGATATAGAAATGAAAGAAAGTTATAGTGCTTAGAAGGAGGCAATTCCGGGAGAAGTCCCTTAGGAATAAATTCGGAAAAATTAATTTCCGACCTCGCTGGGATTCGAACCCACGACCTTCGGATTTGTACACCGATGCTCTACCAGCTGAGCTACAAGGCCAGACTGGGAGCAGGTCGGGGTGAAATAGATGTTAAGGTTGCGGTAATAGAATAATGTAAAGATATGAATATGAAGACCGCATGGCACTATGATAAACACGATATAGAAATGAAAGAAAGTTATAGTGCTTAGAAGGAGGCAATTCCGGGAGAAGTCCCTTAGGAATAAATTCGGAAAAATTAATTTCCGACCTCGCTGGGATTCGAACCCACGACCTTCGGATTGTACACCGATGCTCTACCAGCTGAGCTACAAGGCCAGACTGGGAGCAGGTCGGGGTGAAATAGATGTTAAGGTTGCGGTAATAGAATAATGTAAAGATATGAATATGAAGACCGCATGGCACTATGATAAACACGATATAGAAATGAAAGAAAGTTATAGTGCTTAGAAGGAGGCAATTCCGGGAGAAGTCCCTTAGGAATAAATTCGGAAAAATTAATTTCCGACCTCGCTGGGATTCGAACCCACGACCTTCGGATTGTACACCGATGCTCTACCANCAATATGCTCTTAACGCGGTTTACGTTCTTAAAATCAACTTTTAGTCGTAGCTTATAGGCTTCACCGGATCATAGATCGAAAATCACAAATTCTCATTGGTCAATATTTTGTATAAATCTCCAAACAATCAAATATGAAATTATTTCACAACGAGCCAATCACATCCAACCATTTTCGATCCTCACTCTCACTATAAAAAGGCCACCAAAAAGTTTCAGTTGACAAGTTAAAATGTCTGCAAAGAAAGCGGAAAAATTAACCTGCAAGAAACCTACCAAATCGCCAATCAAAATCTCTTCGAGTACTTCACCTTCAAAGCCGGAAAAACGGCCAGCGTCCACACAGATCAGCGAGTCAGCAGAAAACACTCACAGACTAAAAGTCGCGATGGTCGAAAACATGACTATTGGGTATGTTCACGAACTCTCCAAACTCAGAATAAATCGTGGAAATACCATGGATTATTGTTCGTGTCAACTTCAAACGGCTACAAAGAACGTGGACGCACTACTTTATAGTCCTCATAAAAGGCCTCTTCTTCACGAAAGTCAAGAGAGAAGGTCTCCAGTGAAGCTCACCTCATTCACCTTCACGCCAGCCAAGGACAAAATTATAGTGAACGACATGAACGCGATAACTACCCCTCAACAAGACGAATATTCATTTCAGTATCAAACCCCAACAGAAGTACAAACGCCAGTTTTCCAAGTGCTAGATGTTCTCAGTACTTCCAAAGAATGGGACGTTGTCACGGTCAATGGCAAACTCTTTGGTTTGAAAGACCAGAGAATGGTTGGAAGTCCTCGTAAAAGACTTCTTGAAGCAGTTTTGGATGATGGATCTGGTACGATTCCCATGGATATTTGGGAATCTAACATCGACAATGTCAAAAMTGGTAAGGGCGATTCCACATGAGACATTGAARAAAAGCTTATTTCGAAATTCAGTGGATCTTTTTAATTCCTYTTGCATTAGAAACCTCAAGACCTGAATTGTTTAAATTTGAAAATATATTGCAGTTACTTGGCTTACCCGTCCTATGATCAGACATGAAAGTTAACYTTTTGTTATCTTGGAAAAGTTCAACATTTTTAAATTGCCTTTTCTAMGGACAGAACATAAAGGCCAAAAAGAACAAATTTTGCAATTTGACATTAATAGGTAGCCATCACCAACACTTATCACATGGCCATGACCAATTTGCAAAATATTAATTTTCTGCTATCAAGAGGAATGATTGAATTTTCGTTGTGGACATTACGTAATGTCCACAACGTTTAAACCTTCAACTCAATCTCATGAATAATTGGTTAGACACACTAAAGAGCTATTTAGGATCCTATGTTAGATTGATGGTACGTTAGCCGAGGACTGGAACTAATTGCAAGGACTTGAAATCCCGTCCAGTCCKMATTGKMGKACTTTGAACGACTTCTCATACTCATTAATTATTCGGGAGGGGAAAAAAGCGAAGGAAATATATATAACAGAAATATAGATTTATTGCATCTCCACCAAGGTTTTCAGTTTTCATAATTTTGAATAAAGAAGCACCGTTTGTTGTTTTCCAATTCCCGAACGGCTTTTTGAAACAAAAGCTTTTCAAATTGTCTTTGTTTGCTTTTCATAGCATTCCCAATGAGCCTAATTCATAAGTTTTATAAGTATGTTATCTTCCAAGGAATCGCATCAGAAACTCGGTGGTGTAATGGTATAAGACGGCGTATATAGATTGGAGGGTTAGGGATCGTTTCGTGAGGGAGTCATTTATCAAAGACCTTTTTTCACTAAATTAATTCTATATTAAGTTGATTATTTCTAATACTTTGATTATCATTAGCTAGTAGTAGTTAGAAAAAGCTAGAAGTAACTAGAATCAAGGTAAGAGTAACTGGAAATAAGATAGAAGTAACTAGAATCAAGGTAAGAGTAACTGGAAATAAGATAGAAGTAACTAGAAACAAGGTGGAAGTAACTGGAAATAAGATAGAATACAAGGTAGGAGTACTTCCTCTGGTATCCAGTTACTGCACGTGGTACAAATTACAATCAGGGATTGGCTAGATACCTCATGAATAATTAATGAGTATGAAATCATATTTCAAGTATGTATAAAATACAGTCGATTAACCATCTACAGGAAGAGTCTGGTTTGGGATGTTTAACTCGGAAACGAAATATTGCGAGAAACGTATCTCTTTCCCCATCGCCTCTTAGCAATCTTGCCCTGATTACCCATGATTCATCGTCAAGCGTAAACTCGTTTATTGTTCCCCATTGCATGTCAAGATTATTCCAAATATCCTCTCAATAATTAAGAAAAGAATGTAAAATTACTGTATACGTAAACACAACAACTCTTTATTCAGCCATGTTGTTAAGCACGAGGCTTGGGAAATTACTGCACGTGATATACTGATTAGCATGCGTTACATAAGATTGCGTTACTAGTTGATATCGTTACATCCTCCTTCTTTTACAAACAATCTTTTTTTTTGCTAACTACAACGTTCAAAGTTCAGTGTTCAAATGTTCAGCCTGTCCAGTGGCTTTGAAACGCGTCCTCACCTAGTCGTGTAGGTTGGAGCGTCCCGCTGTGGTGCAGTCGAGGGTTGCTGTAAAACTTCTGCTTCCTTAGTGGTTGGTTTATGTCTCAGCTGTGATCGAGTACGCCTGTAGATACCTTCTGTTCTGTCGTTCTTTACAATATATGACCGGGGTTCTTTTGCAGGTCGAACAACTGTTCCACTTTCCAACCTTTGAGTTTGGTGGTCGAAAATGTTGACTGGTTGACATTGTTGAAGCTCCTTTAGTGTCGGTCCAGCATTCTTGTTGTAGTAGAACGCTTGCAGGTTCTGTTTGTGGTACAGCTCCTCTTTTGTCTTGCTTGTATCATCAGTCACACTTACACGCTTCGGCATTGGTAAGGTGGTTTTAAACTTGCGGTTATTCAGTAGTTCCGCTGGCTAAGTGGTAAGACAGAAGACCAAGATAGATATCTTCTCCTTCTTCGTCGCATTTCTTAAGAATGCTCTTGCCTGTCTGTACTGTGCGTTCCGCAGCACCGTTTGATTGAGGGTACATGGGTGAACTTGTAGTGTGCTGGATTCCATAGGTCTGCATGAATTCCTGGTATTCCTGTGACGCATACTGGGGTCCATTGTCTGTAGTAAGCTGTTCAGGTATACCATGTTCAGAAAAGATGCTTTTGAGGTGGTTGATGACAGCGCGTGATGTAGTACCAGTGAGTCTTCTGATGATTGGAAATTTGCTGTACTTGTCAGATACACGAGGTATTGGTTGCCTTTGAACTCGAAGAGGTCCGAGTTTAGTAATTGCCACGGGTGTCAAGGTGGCTCGGGTTGCAAAATTTCTTGTTTCTGCTGCTTGTGTTGATACTTCTGGCAGGTGGCACACGTCTTTACGAGATTAACAATGTCCCGAGAAATACCTGGCCAAAATACACATGACCTGGCTCGAAGAAGACATTTCTCTTGACCCATGTGTCCTTGGTTGATTGTGTGTAGTGTTTCTTGTCGTAGCGTGGCAGGCATAATTATACGCTCCTGCTTTAGTACGAGGCCATCTTCAATAGTGAGTTCCTCGCGGAAGTTCCAAAAGTCATGTAGCACTTTTGGGCACTTCTCTCTCTTTATTGGCCATCCTTCAAATATTACATCACGAATTTTGCTGAGTATAGGGTCACTTGCAGTTTCCTGGCTGATTTGTTGCAGCTTTATTGGCGAGGCTGGTAGGTTTCTAGTGATCTGATGTATGTGTAACTGTGTAAGCTCTTCCTTGGGCTGAGAGCGCTCTGGTGATACCCTAGAGAGGGCATCGGCGATTGGCACTTCGGCACCCTTTACATACTTTACAGTGACGTCATATTTCAGTGCTCGTAGTACGAATCTCTGTAATCTTGCGGGGCAACTGTTCAGTTTCTTATTAAATATTGCTTTGAGTGACTTATGATCTGTGTGGACAGTGCATGATTTGTGTTTCACGTTCTATGTTACTGTAGCGCTGCTCAGTCTCGGTGAGGGCTTTCGATGCGTAACATACAGGTTTTCCGTCTTGTAGTAGTACCTCACCCAGTCCTTTCAGTGATGCGTCTGTTTCGATGACTGACTCTGCGTCTGGGTCGAAGAACCTCAAGACTCCAAGCGATGAGACTTCCATTTTGACTTCGTTGGCCTTGTTGTGCTCAGGTCCCCAAGAATACGCCGTGTCTTTCTTGGTTAAGTCTCGAAGTGGTGCTGACAAAGTAGCTAAACGTCCAGACTATCTGGTAAGATAATTGACTAATCCAAGAAAGCTTTGTAGGGTTTTGACATCTTCTGGAGGTTTCATCTTGATGATTGCTGATACCTTCTTATTGTCAGGTTTGATGCCGTGTGGCGTCCACGTATGTCCAAAGAAACTGACTTCTTTACATTTGAACTGTAGTTTTCCTTTGTTGAATACGATGCCTTTNGTACCCAGGCATTCAATCCTTTGGCCGCCATAAGCTGTTAGAATCTGTGGTGATCTCATTGCTTTATCTCTGTGTGATGCCAGGATCTTGTCAAAATCGGTTTTGGATATCACATTAGTTTCTGCACCGGTGTCGATCGTACATCTTATGGGCGTTGTCTTCCTGTGGTAGGGCCTAGCAGTTATTTCAATGGTTGTGAAGACTTTGTTACGACTATTTACTATTTATGTTTTGCACACCGTCTATCTCTAGCGATCCTAAGAACATTTCACCTGTAGGGTTACTGTCTTGCTCAGTTCCTGGATGTTCTTGTAATTCATTTATTTGCTTTCTCTTATAGCAGACCTTGCTGAAATGCCCACGTCTATGGCAATAGTGGCATTCAGCGCTGCTAGCAGGACATTGTCGCCTATTTGGGGCTCGCTACCGCATCCGTTGCATGACTTGTCATTCTTTGGTTTTCCCGCCAATTTCTTGTCTCTTTGACCTTTGTGTTTGTGTTGTGGACTCGGTTTTGCTCTTTGTAGTGCGTTTACTTGCGATGATTCGATTCCGCTGGTCATAGCATTTAACTGTAGAGTTGTAGCTTCATCAGTACGGGTGATTTCTCTAGCTTTTTTAAGTGTCAGTTCGTTTCCTTCGGCGATACATATTTTTCTCACGATGTCCGAGTCGACGCCAAATACTAGAGCGTCGCGCATCAGTTCGTCATGAAGAGTGGTTGGATAACCGCTGTTTTGTATCAAAATCCCTGCCTCTGTTAGAAATTCGTCGACACTGTGCCAAAAGGCAAATATTCTTTAGTATTCAAGTATTTTAAGTATTCAAACGTATTGAAGTAGTGTGATCTACGTCACGTACGCCGATAGTATTCTTTTTGAATACGTGTGAATATTTTGTGTATAAAATCAATTTTTAGTATTCGGACCAAAATATTTCACGTTGAAATATGCGAGCGTTTACGATAAGTAAACCTCACGTATACAAGTATTGAATACTTCCTCTAAACTTTTAGTATTCAATAGTTTTCAGGTAGCGTGATGTATTGTTGTATGCCGATGGTATTCTGCTTGAATTCGTACGCCTACGTTCCGTATGAATTAATCTTTAGTATTCGGATCAAAATATTTTGCGTCGAAGTATGCTAGCGTTTACGATAAGTAAACTTCACGTATACAAGTATTGAATACTCCTTTTAAACTTTTAGTATTCAAAGGTATTCAGGTAGCGTGATCTATTTGACGTATGCCGATGGTATTCTGTCTGAATTCGTGMGCGTACTTTTCGTATGAATCGATCTTTAGTATTCACTGAAGTCSAAACATTCGAATGGATCGTTTGATAATTGGCTGCTACAGTGATTTAACTTTTGCTGATGTTTTTGTAAGAATTCACGCATMGGAATATTCATGGGTGTAGAATAGTTGTATCATTTCGTTCATATYATTTTCTAAGCAGGAAATAACTTYATTTTCGAATATGCCTTTACGCGGAAAAGTTTTAAAACTCAACATAAACTCGACATACTATTGCATAGAAGTACCCGTTTTATTTAATCTGAAATGAATTCCTATCAGTGAAAAACTAAAATTCAAAAAAGTTTGAAATTAATCTACAGTAGTAGCTACAGCATTTGCTGAACCCTGCACGCTGAAAAACATTGCCTGAAGTTTCAGCTGCAATTTTAGCAGCTTTTATCGCATGCACAATAGTGCTGTTGTCTATCATTCAAAATGCTGTAGATTTCGTRGGCTATTMATCAAATATCTTTTGTTGTGATATTAGCCTATACTATGAATCAACGATTGCGCATGCGCGCGTGCATACGCCTCGCTAAGCTCAACTGGTTCCCACATTGAAGATGATACGTTGAATGTTGTGCTATAAAAGGTACGTATTTTAGAGATAAGTAGCAGCTTGGCCAAAGCTAGGGGTTATCATGTGCGCGACGGCGTGTGAATGGTCTTGGGGCCGGTAATTCCCTCCCATGCAATAAAGCAAGCCACCGTAAGTTCCTTGATAAACAAAGACCTAAAGGCGCCCCGACGTTCGAGGAATGCCCGTACGCTAGTGCTCGCTTTGCAGGAAAGTCGTGATTTCAAACTGTAGGTAGAGGCTAGTATAAACGTACGTGGCGTGGTCTAGGGGAGCCTTTTGACTACAAAAAGTTTTACTTTGATGGTATTTCGCTGTTTTTTTATTAATAATTTCAGCAAAGAAATCACGAAATCACGTCGCGATAAGATTTAAGCTTACGAATAATAATAAGAGACCAATATACAAACAAACCTAAAATAACTATAAAGACAAAAAATTCAGCAATACAGATCGAATAAAAATTATAAAACATCGATTATCATAAAGYAACCAAAAAATAAAGAAGATCGAAGACCGAAAAGCAAGAAATAAAAAGAAATTCATGYCCAATAGAACAAGGACTCAACAAGGACATATATCAATAAACTTTAAATTCTCGATCGAAGCTTCGGAAGATTTTATCATTCAGGTAATAGTATAAAAACAAACTAAATGCCTTGCAAAGTTTTTTTGTAGGCAAAGCACAGTGTTGGATTTTTCATGMCAGCTTTTTATTGTCCCTTTTTTCCCTTTTGCACATTTAAGAACACTTGATAACTCTGGATATATAATTTAAGCATTAATTTGCTTGGAAGAACAAGTATATTTGCATGCAAAGTAAAATGTAGCCATTATTTGGATTTGTTATGAAAAATGTACCTATGCTTAAATACTTGGCAACATTTATCAGAATCTCAGTGGCCYAGCTTCCCACTGTATTAAATAATGAATTAAAACACATTGATAGTCAAGATTTGCTAGCCTTCTTCACAGCCTCCCCTTTTGTCAGAAGGAAGCCCTACAAAAGGGAAGGCTGCCAAGGAGACTAGGTTTGCTTGAATTTTGAGAGTTTTGTAATTTTCATAGGAGTAGTCCCCTTAAAAATTCTGTCCATCACATATTTCATAATCAGACTATTGTCAATGTGTTTTACATTCTGATAAAAACCAGTTTACTCTGGGAATAATTTAATGTACATGTATGTCCTTCACAATGAGATCATTTGATTGCAACAACTATTACAAGAACACTATCACATACAAAAATGAATAAAATTGTTTACATTTATGCATATCCACATTTGCATTTAAGATATAACAAATATAACAAAACCTGTACCTTGATAACTAACTAAACTCTCAGATGAACATTATTAAATAATGTTTGGAAAGGAATAATAATAAGAAAATTTAATTCAAAACTTCTCTTCATTACTAACAAAACCGTCCTATGAGGGGGATCACTACTTGAACAGTTTCAATGCCATATGGAAATTTAACTCTATATATCACCCGCATAAACTGACCAGAAATACTAGACATTGAAACAAATTGGCGGCATTCAACATCAGTTGACCAAACCTCTAGAGGCTCAGCATACCAATTCTTTTGAGGATGTTCTTTGAAATATTCAACTTCAACCATAGCATTGTTCACTTTCTTTTTTTTCCTGTCTTTCAAAATAATACACTCATTGTTCAAAAATCTGACTACTTTGACAGGTTTTAGGCAATTATTTGCTGAGCGTACATAAACTCCCACATTTGAGGAACTTTTAATGACCCTTCCATGTACTTGAGCTTCCTTAAATTCTTCTGAAATTCTGAGAACTTTTTCAACTTTTTCATATTTCTTCTCGTAGAACTCAAAGAGGTAGTTGATATCAATTCTATCMAGACTGATTCTTTTGATTGGTGGAAGACAAACTACATCACCTAAGTCACACTTGGACGTGTCACCTACTGTACCCACATCATTTGGTTCTAAGAGCTCACCAAACACTTGAATATTGTCAGGCCACTCCATCTGTTTAAAGGGACCCTCTACTTCTCAGCAAGTTGAACTTATATTATGTAGAATTTAATGCTGATTTCGAAAATCGTATTAAAAATTTCAAGAAATAATTAGTAAGCTAATTAAAGCGATTTTAATCTCATCAAAAAATCGGTTTGGGCACCCTGTGCTGTCGTGACGTCAGGTCGTGACGTCAGGTCGTGGTCGTGGTTTGTTTTGACAAGAAGGAAGCCTATAATCGTGTCCTTTTCCCGGGCTTTTTATTTCTTTAATTATGGCTATGCATTTTCAATTCGAGCTCGAATATGACGACAGT